TGTGTGTGTGTGTGTGTGTGAGTGTGTGTGTGTGTGTCAGAACATGTGTCTCAGTTTACTAGGCATCTATTTTTCTAACTTAGTTCTAATGCACTTTTACATATTAAAAAAACCAAACCCGTCAATATTCTGAATGTTCAATTAATTTGGATAAAATAGACCATGCATGGCCATTAAAGTTAAACAGTAGCATTCCAATTTCTGTTTGCCTCATAGCTTACCTGGGGATTGGGGAAGATTGAAGAATACCGAACCACTTGTACATTATTGAATAGATATACCGGTCCGAGATTCTCCTTTGAGAGTGAGAGACATTAAAAACGGGGAAATTATGAATTCCTAAGGTTGAGACATAGGCAAAGTCAGTCCGCTGGTCCGGTATTCTTCAATCTTACCCTTACCTGTTAGTTATGATTTCCCATCTTTTAGGGGGGGATCAAAGGCTTTAAAATACTTTAGTCTTTGCTTATTTCCCCAATAACTTCTACTGATAGTGTATTTTGTTTATTAAATCTGATTGTTACTTTCACTACTTTATTTTGCAATAAAATCAAATGACGAATGAATAATAGTTTCAGCCTTCCAAGTTTACTACTATAGTCACCAAAGTTAATTAATTAATATTTTGATTTATTATTGGGGTGATGCGATGAAAATGATGATGATGAGACGATATTGCGGGACGGCTTATTCAGGCTATGAACAATGGCGTCGCTGCTTCATGAAAGTGTTACGCTCCCAAGGTATGCTTTTCATTGGTCTACATTGAAAACGACAAGATCAATGTAATCAGCTGATAAGATTCTTCGGACAAGAGTATTATCGCGATATTGTTGTCTGGAACAAACATAGATGGGAACAAAGCAAACAAGCAATAATTACAAAAACTCTTGTTTACTTACCAACATAATAGATATCTTATGTTGTCACTGAGTTAATATAGCCCTTTTCTTTTTTCTATAAACAAAACTGGTATCAAAATGCAATTATCATTATTAAATGTGTCATAATAAACAACGCGAAGAACATTCTTCCGGAAGTAGTCGCAGAAAAACACATTCATATTTTTGTACACTGACTTGTCTGACGGAGTGTGACAGACCAGTGTGTGTAACTGAGGAAGGAATGACTTGGAAGTGGTTGTGGTGACTGTTGTCGGCTAAGATTTTATACCTCGTTGCTACATTATTTCTTTTTCCTGAGCCATTTGGACACAGCATTTAGATTTAGATCTAGATATAGATCTACAGAGTCCGGTTACTGACGATGGTAAGCTTTGTTTTTCGACACATTAAATTGCCGTGTAGATCGTTCTTGATTAGTCGAGAGTCGAGAGTGTACTGTAAACACTCCTTGCCTTAAAAGTAAGTTAAACTCCTAGATCTAGTCCTAGCCTCTCTACTCTCTACTCTAGCATAAAGTCTAGATTGTAGATCTCTAGATTCTAGACTAGATCTAGATTCTAGATCTAGAATCTAGATCTAGATCTAGATATCTAAATCTAGCGCTAAAACAAAAGTAGATCTATCGCAAAAGACGAAAATGATGACTGGTGTCCGGAGTTGAATTATGGCCACCTCTAGCACTCTAGCGCAGGCGAGTCTGTTGGCAATTCTCACCCGGCACCCGGTGTGCGTTCACCGTTATAGCCTAGATCTAGGCCAACCAATTTTGCGTTCCCCCTGAACCACAGAAATCTACAGTCTACACTGTGAAAAAAATTGCAGAATTCTGTGCCGTGAACAAACGTTCCATTACTACTGTTAGCCTTTTAAGCGTGCAATTTTGTCTGTGGGCCCAGTGGAGAGAGAGAGAGGAGTAGCGCGAGAAATTACGGGCAAAACAAAGTGGCGACCCGCGTAGTTTGGCTGGATTCGGAAAGTTAAATTTAAAATAGCCGTAGCAACTTTGTAGACGACCAAATTAATATACTTTTTTTGTGTTTTAACATCATTTTAAAACTTTGTTTTGGTCAATTTGATCGTCCACACCGATAGATAGTATTCAGAAAGGGACAGAGAGAGAGAAGAGGGGAGGAGTAGATCTTGCGAGAACTTCCGGGCAAAACAAAATGGCGACCCGCGTAGTTCGGCTCGATTCGAAAAGTGAAATAGCCATATCATCTTTGTAGATGATCAAATTAGCCTACTTTTGTGCTATTATAACGTAATTTTTTTCATTGCTTTTATCCATTTGATCATCCACACCGATAGAAAATATTCCGAAATTAGGAAAAATAGGCCTTGTTTCACACCGGGTGAGAATAGCCAACGGTGGCAAGTCTCACCCGGGGTGAGAGGTCGATCGTATTTTTATTCTCACCCCGGGTGAGGATAGCCACTTCCTTGAATTATAGCATCAAATAGGGGCCTACATTATTATCCTACATGTGACGTCTACTTGTAAGTTTACATTACCCATAATCATAATGTAAATGATTGTCACAAGTGTGACATCATCTGCATCCTGACACTGACACTACATTGTCATCTGTATTGTAATTGTTTGCAAGGCCTACTTGGTAACTTACGAGATCTATCTCGATCTAGATTATAGAACTATTCTAGTCTAGATCTGCTATTCATACACTTACTTACTTGCACACATTTATTAGGCCCTATTTTATTTTCGGGAGTGTCTAAGTACTCAGTAACCGGGCACCTAGTCTCAGTATTTACGTACACAGAGATGCCAACCAGTACGATTTTACGATTTTTTGCCGAAAATACGCAAATACGACTTCTCATAAAAAAAATATGCATCCTGGAATCCGAAAACTCCGAGATCCAGTTTGGGCGAGTAAACCTAATTATCTCACGTCCCATCTTTTGTCAAAATAGTATCAGTATCGTGGAACTGGAATATTTGAAAACCAAGTGAGATAAAGTCAGTAAGTTCAATGTTGCCGGTCGCGATTGTGGTATTATATTCGTTTAGCTTTTCCTCCTCCGAGAGTACGTTTCACTTTCACGCGAACAGGCGGCTGGCTATGGCGGCAGACGGAAGTGTATGTGACACCGAGGCTTGATTGGGAAAATCAAGATCTACTTTCGCTTTCGTTACCACCAAGAAGTTTGTCAGCGGTAGACTGATAACGCAACTTATTTTTGACATGCAGGTTGTGCAGTGTAAACGCTGTGTCGCCATGCAAATGAAATTTCTCGGACTCGTCTCTGTGCTGTAACTTGTAGGAAAAAAAGAAAAGAAAATACAAGCGTCGTCCGATTTTTAGATTGTCGGGCTCGCCATCGTGACCGGTCAATGAACCTGTGCGCATTCACATCACAAATAAATGCGGCTTCGTGTGAGCAAAGACCGTGTTTGGTGGGAGTAACGGTGTTGCCAAGTATAGGACTACGGGAGTGGATTATTTATTGATTTTTTTTTTATATACTTGTAACTCGAGGGGGGAGGAGGTGTGAAGGCAACACCAGAGGACAAAAACTTGGAGGCAAATTTCAGAATTTTGATTAGAGCTCTCTGCAAAGCGCGCGTTGGTGCAGGCCGTGGGCGGAATCGGGACCCTTCATATATTGCAAGTCTGTGTTATTGAAATAAAATGTTCGCGTGTCATTGGATGGGTGATAGTGATAGTAAATTATACCTACAGTGTATGTTGTATGTAGCTTTCTGTTCAAGACTGGCAGATTTTCAGTGTCACTGCATCTTGCCCTACCGCAGTTGTTACAACTCTCACAGTGCATGGGTCTACTTGAGCCATTCAAGTTATTGCTCTTCTCTGAGTTTGAGCAATAATTTAAATAATTTGAGTCTGTCAGTTCATATTATGAATCATGACACCCAGACTGGCTCTTGATAGTCGAAATTCTTGTTCTAGGCCCTTTCGAACGCTCAAAACAGGATTAATTTTTTATAATAATAATGAGAGGAAAATATTATAACAGACTGAAATACTTAAGTCAAACCAGACCCCAGTACGACATTGAACACTAACATGTTGTTGACTAGATACATGTATATGTACGCGTGTGTGCTCCCTTTTTCGAGCTGGTGAGCTAGTAAATTTTTTTCAGGAAATATTGCTGGACACCCGGAACATTTTACTAGTTGGTCGGTCGGTCGTGGAGAATACACATTTTCATATCTCCCAATACTCATTTCGGTTTTCTGTGGTTGGCATCTCTGCGTACATGATGGTAACCGGGAACCTAGTCTCACCTAATCTCAGTATCTACGTACTTGCTTGACATGACTGGGCATATATATATATCGATTATCGGTAGTAAGTTGGCGCTTTTTCGGTAGTTCCCACCCCGCAATTGTTATTCGAGGGTTTTGGCCCCAAGAGTAGAGGGGTTTCAGGGTTGCCCCCCCTGACCTGATAAAAATAAAGTGGGGGGTTTCAGGGGGTATGCCCCCCTGATTTCACCATAATTTGATGTTTTGCAGTTGTTAGGTTTGATATCTCAGCTTGCCGCGCATCAAACGTATAGATCTAGATGTAGATTTAGGCTCAAATAAGGGGGGGTGGGAACTACCGAAAAAGCACCAGTAAGTTTAAGGGTAGGTCTAAGGGTTGGAATCTAAAGTTAAGGCTAAGGGGTAGGTGTAGGGGAAAGACTTTCGTAAGTCGTAATGAGTGACCTCCCCAACTCCCTACAAACACTAATTGCCTAGGAAGAGGCCTAACTTGACCCTACCCCTAACCCTAACCCCAAACCTCTATTCTTTTTAGATTCTTATTTTGCAATGGTGACTCGTTATGGAATTTCTTCTGGTCTATGACTAGGGTTCGTTAGGATTTTAAAAGCGGAGTGTTTATGTACACAGTAACTGGGCTCGTAGTCTCAGTATCTACGTACACGGTAACCGGGTGCTTAGTTTCGGGGGCCCCTTGAGCTAGGTGCACGGTAAATGCTTCGCTGCCTTCATGACCTTGACTTCTTTCATCCCCTCCCGCTTTCCTGTTGTTTCCAGCTTCACGTAAAATTTTGAACCCAAATAATGCAATACACTCAAGGCACATATCCCCCCCCCCCCCCCCTTAAAAAAATACGCCAAAGTTGTTCATTTATTTTTATTTTCTTATTTCTTTTGTCCTCAATTAGGCCTAGTACATAATGTATTAAATCACGGCACGCAGTTTAAGCCCACAGTGGTTAAGTCCCGAAAAACACCTCGACCAATGCGACAGGTGTGAATGAACTTTGTTAACCTCGACAACCGACTGTCCCCGACACACGCGCTACTCACACGTAGGAGGTCATGTCACGTGATGCGAAAGTGCGTTTGAAAGTTTCACTGACAGGTTCTTGATGACTGGCCCTAGTAACCAGAACTCGGACAAAGCTTTCTTTTAAAGCAACGGAAGAACAACGGATATCTATAGGTTATTTTTAGGCCTATATGTATTGTCATAATTATTACAGTAATCAGGCCATCGTTGAAAAATTCTGGGTAACAAAAGCAAAAGAAGTCAAGGTCATAAGGGAGAGAAGCATTTACCGTGCGCCTAGCTCAAGGGGCCCCAGAAACTAAGCTCCCGGTTACCGTGTACGTAGATACTGAGACTACGTACTACGTGCTCGGTTACCATGTACGTAGACACTTTTAAAAGTATTGTCTGGCCAAAACCTGATTATAAATTATTCCCTTCTGATATTTTCTTTTTTCTTTCACTTTTTATAGCTTTTATCTGAAACTGAAAGATAATGATTTGTTCCCCACCCAGGGTACGCCGGTGAAGGATATTGTCATACCAAGCAGTGCCCCCCAAACCTTGTTCCTTCAGAAGCATGCAGACTACATAGCTGCCTATGGAGAAAAGAAAGACGACTATGTAAGTTATTTTTAGAATTTCTGATACCTTTTGTCAACAAGGTTGTCTTATTATCATCATCCAGTGCCAGATCTGATATGTGACAGACATTGGCGATCATGGTTCTCCATTCATTCCTTTGCTCGGATGCTCTTAAAAAAGCTATGTTTTCCCGATCTTTCCCCGTTACCCATTTGTTTAGGTTCCCTAAGTTGGTTGTTTTGGGCCTACCCCGCTTCGTTTGCCTTCAATTTTGCCAGTGAAAGCTAAAAGTTATAGACCTGTATGTCTATTCAGGTGTCCTAACAACTGCATTTATTGTTTCCTGATTGTTTTTAACAGTGAGCGTCTCTCGTGGGCTTCATCAAGCACTACCTCTATTGATTTCTTTTCCTTCCACGATATTCTTAGCAGTCTCCTCAGAAACCACTTTTCTGTTGCTTCTATTTTATTTTCAGTCTTTTTGTCCAGTCATATAAAAGGGTTGACCATACATAGCATTTCAGAACTTTAATTTTGGTAGTCATTGAGATGTTTCCTTTTTTCAGGACTGGGCTCATTTTATTGAAACTAGCCTTAGCCATAGTAATTCTCCATTTTATTTCTGTAAAGCATTTAGCATCAGATGTTATCATATATATTTAAACTGTTGGATTTGTTTGATCTTTTCACCTTTGCTAGTGAGATAACAAATAGGATTTCTGCTGTCTTATTATAGTCCTTTGAAAACTTTGTGTTATATTGAAGTCTTTGCTCTCAATGGCTCAGCCAGGCCCATTAACTGTCAGTTTTTACGAATGAAGTTATTGCAGTCCATGCCGGCTTTAAGCACGGCGGCATAAAGCACGTTTCGGATTCAAGCACGCTAAACAGCTGTTACCGAATTTTTGCTATATTAATAACACGCCTTTAAGCACGGTAACTTCGGCTTCGGGGACGCTTCATTTACAAGACAATCAATACTTTCATGATAACCCTTCGAAGTTCGAACAGTCTACACCGCAGCAGTGAGTGTGTAAGAAAAACACAAAGAACGCAAATGGTGGACACACACACTCACATACGTGGAAAGGAAGGTGGAGAGATGCACACTGCCGCACTTGTGGACATAGGATCTAGCATAGGTCAAATTTACACACAGACAACAACAAAAAATACAAAAGAGAGTTGGGGGGACGAGAAAAGGAGGCTGGCTGCGATTTCACCTAAGACCCTCGCTATCCATTAATCCTGATTGTGTATCACGCGTGAGGGGGGATGAAGGTGGTGGTATGAATGTGGCACAGCGGGCAGTGGTAAGCATAGGCAGTGTGTAGGCCTAGTGTGCTGTATCGTGACTGGCCGTCTAAATGAAGTTTCCATTTCCCATTCGACCACAAAACAAAAACAAACAAAAACTACCATGGCGGGTCAAAATAACAGTGCACACTTTTGTGGGACCGCTACAGGCCTACTTACAAACAAAGGGAAATATCACTGGAAATTTTCTATACATGAAAATCTCTGGATTATGTCTACTTCGCACTCAAGCACGCTTCAGCTTTATGCACGCTTAAGCTATCTCCCGATGACCGTGCTTAAAGCCGGCATGGACTGTATTATCAATGTATTATCTTAGAGCTTGTTCAATTTGTCTTTTGATGAAAAAAGTACCCATCTGTCTTGAATGGAATTTGTGATTGTTTGAGATGGAAGTTGCCTGGTGTTAAAGGTAACTTTAGCGAGAAATTGGCCGCCAAAGTTTGGTGACTTCCTAAGCTCGAGTGTCCTTGGAAACTGCAAATGTACATTTTTGTGCCTTTCATCCATGTTTTTCAGTAAAATCTTGTACAGAAATGTTTTTAATTTTTAATATGAGCCCTCCCCCAAGGGAAAAAAAAAAGTTTTAAATGTCAGTTTCCTCGATTTCATCATTTTTTCCTTTTGTGGATTACCTGATTTCACCAAGATAACATGCTTTTGATTTTCTTAATGTTATTCTTTTGTATTTAAATCTGTTTTTCATACAAGCCTTGCTGTAGTGTCGTGGTCGTAACATAGTACTGAACTTTTTTCAATTTTTAAAAAGACTTTATGCTTTTTAGTTGCATCCTGTGCTTGGGGGCAAAATAGTGTGATATTGAATGAATTAAAAATAACACTAATCATTGACCTGCTGTTTTGGCAGTAAAAATTTCTAGGCTCTTGCATTATAATACAGCTGGCCAGGAAAAGAAATGAGACTAAACAAAATACACCTTACTTTGTTTCTCAGGAATATGTCATGACTGAATTTCTGCGCATGAACGGCATGTACTGGGGCCTGACGTCCATGGCTCTGGCTGGTCAGCTTGACCGCATGGACAAAGGGGAGGTGGTGGACTTCATCCAGAAATGTCAGCACAGCTGCGGAGGAATGAGCTGCAGCATAGGTCACGACCCCCACCTGCTGTCTACTCTGAGTGCCATACAGGTGAGAGGTCATGGATTGCTGATAAAAATTTGGGTCCCGGCATTTGCGAAAGTCAGCTGAAATTTGCATTTTCAGTTCAGTGACTGGAATCAATACGCAGAGGTGCCAATTTTCTGGATCAGTCCAGTATTCTAGGTTTCTAGAATTGTCCGTTTCTGCCTGACTTCAGGCAGATTGTAGGGAAAATGGTGTTGAAACAAGATGTATTTGACGGTATGATGGAAAAATATTGAGTCCCTGCATGAGCATTTCGACACCGTCCGAAAAGTTTAGATTTTTTTTTTCATAGCTAGTTGGCACCTCTGAATATTGTGGTGAGCCTGGGGAGTTGGTTTGGCCAGACTTCAGACTAATTTTGCTGTATCTTTAAAAAAAAGGTTTTAGTGAGAGTTTTACGGCACTTGAAACACAATAAGGTCATATAAGTGCTGAAGATTAGAGGTGTAACAAGAGAGTAACAAACACAAAAAAGAAGGAGGAGAGATCAGGACGATAGATGTTTGATAGGAAAGAAAGAGCAAACCACACCAGAGCACCTGCTAACCACCCACATTTGCTGTATCTGAAGTGTTAGTGACTGCAAGATGTGACGAACACGGCGAGTTTTTTAGAAGGAAGTTACTACAGGGACGTCCATCCCAAATTTGTCAGGCCTTAATGCGGTGCTTATTTCACATAAATGCTTATTTGGACGTCCCTTTTTTACTTTTGCAATCAGATATGGGTAGGTCTCTAAGTCTAAGGAAAAATATTTCCTTTTCATTGGTGCTATCGCAGATATATAGGACAAGCACAGATGTGCTATGTTGAGAATGTAACTGATTGTTTGAGAAAGTTGTAACTTTCTCTCACAAACACACACACACATTTGTCTGACTCTGGTTTATTCTCTTGCTGTGTCTACTAGCAGGCGAAAAAGGGCTGAGGTCGACGGAAAATAACTTACTAAGTTGACTACTTGGATGGACTGGTGATTGGAAAAGACCACGATAGTTCTTTTCATTTTTGACAACATCTAAACTGAGAAATAAGTTTTAAACCATGATATAACCATTTCTGATCCTTCTGGGGCATACACCAGGAGACGGTTAATGTTAAGTTAATCACTTTTCACTCTGGTGTTGTTTGCTCCTTCTTTCCTATAAAAAATCTATCTCTGTATCTCCCCTCCTTCTTTTTTGTGTTTGTTTATTACTCTCTTGTAACACATCTATTCGTCGGCACTTATATGACGTTGTTGTGTTGCAAGTGCCGTAATACTCTTACTAAAACTATCTCTGCTCCTTCTTTTTTGTGTTTCTTACTCTCTTGTAACATCTTTAGCACCCATATGACCTTATCGTGTTGCAAGTGCCGTAAAACTCTTACTAGGACAGCTCTAAGTGACGGTTGTGTTGATGTGGTTCTCTCTCTCTCCCCCAACAAGATCCTGACCCTGTATGAGGCCGTGGATGCTGTAGACACAGAAGCCGTGGTGCAGTGGGTCAAGGGACTGCAGCAGCCCGACGGAAGCTTTTTTGGAGATAAATGGGGTGAGTCGGTGGGTGCTTGCTGCACCTGGGGGGAGGCGGCGTGTGTGTGTGTGTGTGTGTGTGTGTGTGTGTGTTTGTATGTGTGTGTGTGTGTGTGGGTGTCATGTTCAAATTGATAGTAACAATTACCTGTTCTAACTGCGTTTATACAGCATATATCCATGCTCTACAGCACGCTCCATGTATTTTACAACTATTTTTACCCCAGTAGATCTTAGAACACTCAATAACATTCTCAGATTTTCAGGAAACATACAGTGCAAGTAGCCAATTAAGCGCTCAAACACTAACAAACTGACTAAAGTTTTCATTGTATATAGCCGGGTACGCCAAAATGGAAAAAGGCATTTTGTCAGCTTATGGCAGTGCTGTGTGTTGTGCCTGTAATGATCAAAAGCATCTTGACAAACTGTAACGAGACGTTCTACCCGTGTTGGTCTACAGGTGAGGTCGACACCAGGTTCTCCTTTTGTGCTGTTGCCTGTTTGGCTTTACTGGTAAGTTTTTGCTGCAGTTTTTACTGTTTCCGTAGCATTTCAGTTTTTTTTTTACTGGTTTGTTGAGTGTGTCACATGCTATGGGTGGTAGGAAAATGTTTGTAGTAGTAGTAGTAGATCATGCACTTTCCTTTCTGTCTGCGATTTCTGTCTATACTGCAGTAAGCTGACAAAACACCTTTTTTCATTTTGGCACCAAAAATTTTTATTCGAAAGCCTAATAAATAACCCAACTTGTGTGAAAAAAAAATCAAAGTGAAACTGTGACTAGTTTTTGAATAAATTAGAATTCAAATTTTGGAAGCACTCAATTTTTCAATGGCCACACTGACAAAAGAACTCTTTTTCTCGTAACTGTTGTGAATTCTAAAAAAAGGCGTTTTGTCAGCTTATGACAGTATAGCATATGCTTTTCCCATACGCTGTTGAATAATTGATGTGTCGATATGTTTCTCTGGAAATTGATCTGCTCTATGGGTACAGTAGTATGTTGTGCATTTACGGGAATGACATTGGCTCGTGGATTGATTTGAGCTGATGGCGGGTGGTTGGAGGGTGCCACTCTGGATCAAAGTGATAATATTTGGACGATGAGATTGTTACCGGGATGCCATTTTTCCCTCTTTTAAAAGATTTTTAAAGTAATTTTACACTGCAAGAAAGGTTATTATTTTACGCATGCATTTGTTCCGTTATAGTTGTGTCTATTGTCTTTTTTACTTTGCAAATACAGCTTTGTGAATTTTCAGTCATTTTCATAAAGTCCCATTAGCATCCCTGGTTTTAAGGAAGCTGAAATCACAGGTGGAACGTGGAGGAGAGTCACAGAAATTGATGTGCAGAAAAGTGGGAAGACATGGAATAACATCAAGAGGCTTGACCAGGATAGGAAAATGTGGAAAATGTTTGTTTGTGGCCTATACCCTGATCCAGGGTGAAAAAGGCAGTGATGTTGACGGTGATAGTCTTATGTGTTTTATTCCACCTCAGAATCGTCTCAACGAGATCGACGTAGACAAAGCGGTGGAGTTTGTCGTGTCCTGCATGAACTTTGACGGAGCTTTTGGCTGTCGGCCCGGCAGCGAGTCACATTCCGGACAGGTAGCTGCTTTGTTTGAAATTGAAATTAAAAAAGAAATTCCACATGAGAGGCATCGTGGTGAAATCAGGCGCTCATCTAATCAATGAAATCAAAGAAATCAGCATTATTCTGAGGGTTTAGCAATTTTTGTCGAATTTTTGTTTTTTGACTCACCACCTTTTATGTCCTTTTAAAAATTAATTTCTGTCTGGATTTTACTGAAAAACGTTGATTAAACGCACAAAAATGGTAAATTGTCAGTTTCCAAGTACTCTCAAGCTTTGGAAATCACCAAACTCTGACGGCTATGTTCTCGCTAATTTCATCTCTGAAACCAAGCGACCCCTGTCTTCTTCAAGGTAAATATCTCAACTTCAGCTCAAGATAGATGGGTATTTTTTTCTTGGAAAGCAAGATAAATGAACAAGCTTTAAGATGATACCAATAACTCCTCATGCCCAAAAATTGACGAGTGCCTGATTCCACCGCGTTGTGACACATTTTTATTAACCCTCGTGGGAAAATCTGTTTTGGGCGTTGTGGTGTAGCTGTTACACGCTCTACTGGGGCTCACAGGAGACCCGAGTTCAATACTTGAGCAGGGAGACGTCTTTCTGCTGGGATGTTGTATCATTCTTGGCCCGAGTTGGCCCTAACATGCAGGGTTGGAAATCCACCTCTTAAAATGATCTAGCTTAAGAAAAAGTATTAACAAATTGGTTTACAGTGACATACCTACATGAACATACACATAAAATAATCCACTAGTGTCACTGAATACAATATAGCGCACTTGTATCAGGGATGCCAAATCTCCGGTTTTTCCTGCTTTTTTCCGTTTTTTTCATCCGTTGGAATTTTCCCACTGACATTAGGTCCTTCTTCTCAAGACTGAAATAATACTATTGGAATTGATGCAACAAAGACTTCATAAACTCGCAGAGGAAAGGGGAGAAGTAGGAGAGATGTTTTCGTTTGTTAATTTAAAAACTTTGCAAGATTTGTTTTTAGGTGAGATGTGATGCTCCACTCATTTTCAATTTTTTTTTTTTCAAAAGTCATTCGGCATCCCTGTGGAATAAATAGACGATGTCACTGTGCATCATTTTGTATTTTTAGCTAGGATTATTGTGAAGTTCCAGTGTACTTCCACTGGTATTTGTTATCTTTAAGTCTTGTTCTAACTAAGTAACTTAACAGGGTCAGGATTTCAATGCTTTTTTTTCTTTTCTTTAGAGCATCCGAGCGAAGAAATGAATGGAGGATCATGATCGCTTTTGTGTGTTTCAGATGTAGCACTTTATGACGATGATAATGATGATGAGGAAGCCCAAGAGGCGAAACATTGAGCTGTATCCATTTAAACAAATCTTAAACATTTAATATTTTTATATTATTTTGTCTGAAAATCATGCAAGCCTCTCCTTCCTACTGTTGTTGCTTTCCAAATGATGATGATGAAGATGTCATTTTGTATGTATGCGCATCTGTCTCCAGGTGTACTGCTGCGTGGGCATGCTGTCCATCACAAAGAGACTCCATCATGTGAACGCCGACCAGCTGGGCTGGTGGCTGTGTGAGAGACAGCTACCCTCTGGGGGACTAAATGGTATGGGCTCTCATAAAATTATCTTGGTTACAACAACTTACAGTATAACACGGATAGCTTGAATGCGTCGGGACTGGCCTCAGTAGTTCGAGGGATCTGTAATTCGAGGGATATCTTACAAAGTTAAAAGAGAAGTAAAAAAAAAACAAACGGGACCGCAGGCACAGTTTGACAATACGCGGTTTCAAGTCTTCCGAGTTCGGCTTATCTGTGTTATACTGTAATTCATCATCAATGCCTTTCACCCCTGGCAGGGTATAGGCCATATTCAAACTCCTGTCCTGGGCCATCCCTCCTAGCTCGTTCCAAGTGAGCTTCATCTCTCTCATGTCCTTTTCAACACATCTTCTCCTTGTCTCTCATGGCCAACCCCTGCTTCGTGCTCCCTGTGGGTTCCATTGCAGCGACTGCCTTGTGATGTTTCCGCTGGGCTTTCTGAAGGTGTATCCCATCCAACGCCACTTTCTTAGTCCTATTTCTACTTCTGTATCCTTTTGTCCTGTCCTTTCCCATAGCTCTTCATGTCTTATTCTATCCTGCCACTTAATTCTCAGGATACTCCTCATACATCTGTTGATGAAAGTCTGGACTTTATTCAGCACTGTCTTTGTTGTCTTCCAAGTTTTGCAGCCATAGAGGAGCACAGACTTGACATTGGGTACTGTAATTGTCAAGGTCGTTCTTTTCAGGATTGAAGTTATGATATACTTGACTAAGTTGTTGTTATGGATCTAGAGTTGTTGTATTGTTACAAGTGTCTGTTACTTGTTTTATATCTTCAGTCTAGCATGGTTTTATTATGGATACTAAAATTCCAAATACAATCAAGACTAAGATGGCCACCCTTTGTCAAAGAGAAAAGAGGCCACTTAGACATGTGGCCATCATAGGCAGGACCGATCAAAAGGAAGAAAACAAATCATTCTCTTTTGAGGTCCCAACTGGAGGCAGTCGCAGGCTTTGGACTATCGTAAAGCCCATTAACCTGGGGCAAGGGGGGAGGGGTTGAAGGAGGGAAGAAATGGAAGTTTTGCAGCTGCTGTGAGCATGGATCTTCTTCTTCTTCTTCTTCTTCTTCTTCTTCTTCTTCTTCTTCTTCTTCTTCTTCTTCTTCTTCTTCTTCTTCTTCTTCTTCTTCTCCTCCTCCTCCTCCTCCTCCTCCTCCTCCTCCTCCTCCTCCTCTCTCCTTCTCCTCCTCCTCCTCCTCCTCCTCCTCCTCCTCCTCCTCCTCCTCCTCCTCCTCCTCCTCCTCCTCCTCCTCCTCCTCCTCCTCCTCCTTCTATTTTTCTTCTTCTGGGGTGGAGGTAATAAAATTGCAAGAGTGAGAGTAGATTGGTTATGCAGTCTTAATATTCTGTATCTGATTGCATGGCTGGAGTCTCAATCTACTGTCTAGTTGAATCAAGTTAGATCCCTATACTCAAAGGTTTTTAAAGTGTAAAGAAAAAACTATTCCCCACTCTTTTGTTTTGTGGACGTTACATTTGTGAGGCAGTGTGGTGGAATCAGGCTCTCGTCAATTTTCGGACATGTAGAGTTATTGGTGTCATCTTAAAGCTTGTTCACTTGTCTTTATTTGGAGTAAAAAAATATCCATTTATCTTTAATACAAGTCGAGATATTTGCGAAAGAAGAGGGTGGGGTCCACATGTTTTCAGAGGTAACATTAGTGAGAAAATGGCCGCCAATTATTAGTTATTTCCTTAGCTTAAGAGTCCGTGGTAACTGAAAATTTACATTTTTTGTGCCTTTAATCAATGTTTTTCAGAAAAATCCACACAGAAATGAGTTCTTTAATGGGCATGAAAGGTGTTCAGCGAAAAAACAGAAATTTGATAAAAATTCACAAACCTGCGAAAAAGTGCAAGTTTCTTCACTTTGATTATTTTGACGAGAGCCTGATTCCACCACGCTGCCTCACATATATATAATATGTGTGTGTGTGTGTGTGTAAACTTGTTTTGTGGACGTTACATTTTGTCTCACGTGACCCCCCCCCACAGGGCGACCTGAAAAATTGCCGGACGTCTGCTACTCCTGGTGGGTGTTGGCCTCGCTCAAGATCATCGGCCGACTACATTGGATCGACAAGGTAGCTGTCAGCACACAATATTGAATGGGATTCTGAGATGTAGCGGTTAGGCGCTTCGCTGTTGTACACAGTAAACCTGAGTTTGATTCCCTTGTGTGTGTGTGGGGGGGTTTATTGCATATCTCAGTCGTTTTTGCTGGGACGTTGTGTCCCTCTCAGTCTGGGTTGGCCCTGATAGGTATGGTTGGAACCCACCTCCTAAATTATCTGAATTTGTGTCAATGGGGGTGTAAAACACCTTCTGTAAAAAAACAAAAGAAAAAAAAACCCAACCCAAAGCCCCCCAAAAAACTCAAAAGAGAACTTAACCCTTTGGTCCCTGGTCCCCTGAGCCTATACGATGAATTGCTAGAACGGTATTTGTGCAGAATTCCTTGAACCCTATCTCTGCTGTTGTTGTAGAGCTGGTCTGGTCCTGAAAGGGTTGAATTCGCATTTAGAATTGGTTTATCCTTCTACATGTCGTAAAAACTTCTGTTTTGATGGAAATGGAGTTCAAGGTTTGTTGCCAGTAATATTTTGTAAAAACCTGCTGCAACTTCAGATGTGTGTGTGTGTTTTTGTTTTGTTTTTTGTTTTTAAAGAGCAACACATAGTAATTGTATTCTGTGATTCCTGTAGGGAAATTTGTTTCCCAGTGAGGATAGTGGGTGGTTGGCGGGTACTCTGGTGTAAATTTCTCCTTCTTTCCTCTCTCCCTCTTTCCTATCCAACATCCATCGTCATTATCTTTCGTCATTTTCTTTGTATGTAAATTCCAGGTAAAAATACCTTTAATCTTGAGGACTTTATATGGCCAAATTATTTTATTGTGTTGTAAGTACTGTAAAGCTCTTATGAAATCTAACCCCCCCCCCCCCCCCCCCCCCCCAAACAATGATGACTGCACTTCATGTTATCAATAATGTGCATATGTGTTGTGAAGCTGTGGAATCAGGCGCTCATCAATTTAGGTATTGTCTTAAAGCCTGTCCATTTGCCTTGCTTGTGATGAAAAAAATATCTGTATATCTTGTATACAAGTCAAGGTATTTGCGATTGAAGGAGGTGGGGGTCGCCTTGTTTCAGAGGTAAAATTAGCGAGAAAATGTCCGCCAAATTTGAGTTATTTCTTTAGCTTGAGAGTCCATGGAAACATGAAAATTTATATCTTTTATTCCTTTAATGAATGTTTTAGCGTAAAATCCGCACCGCAATGTGTTCTTTAATGGGCAAGAAAGGTGTTGAGCCAAAAAACAAAAAATCTATAAAAATTCCCAAACCTGCCGAAAAATGCCAGTTTCTTGACTTTCAGTATTTTGACAAGTGCCTGATTTCACCACGCTGCCTCACATATGATTGTCCTTTATCGGTATGTTTTATTCATGTGGTCGCCCTCTGTCCCCCAGGACAAGCTGGTACAGTTTATCTTGGCGTGTCAGGACGAAGAGACCGGAGGATTTGCTGACAGGCCGGGGGACATGGTACGTCTGAGTGGCTTGTGCCTGTACTTTGTGCTTTCTCCAACAAACAAAACAATGACCGTGACTGAGACGGTGTGCTTTTCTTAGCTCAACCTCGAGCCCTCTGTTTCTTCTTCTTCAAGTGTGTGGGTGGTTGGAAGGTGCTCTAGTGTGGTTTGCTTCTTCTTTCCTATCAAACATCTGTAAACATTATCTTACCTATTTAACCCTTTCACCCCCAAGCCCGTATATTTTCAGCAGTGCTTGTGCCTCCCGCCATCCTAAGAGTGTATATTCTCTGTTTCAGGGGGTACTGAATTTGTGCTTTTAAAAAAATTAACGAACCTAATTAAACTTTCATTTTCATAATATTTGTTCATTTACCTTTAAACATTGTTTGATGTTATTATCTGAACCTCATTACAAAGATACTACATCACTTTCTAGAATGCATGACTCTTTTTTTCTGAACTACTGCTGTATTGTCTGGGACTGGGGTTAGGGAGTGCACAAAAATGGCTGGGGCTGGAAGGGTTAAGAACATTTTTTTTGTAACTCTCTAGTAACACCTCTAATATTCGGCTCTTATATGATCTAATTGTGTTGCAAGTGCCGTAAAACTCTTACTGTGGGTGGTTGGCAGGTGGTTTCTCCTTCTTTCCTATCAGATATCTTTCTTCCTAATATCTCTCGTCCCTTTTTCTTTGTGTGTTTCTCTTTAGTAACACCTCAAATTTTTTGCACTTGTATGACCTGTTAGTATTGCAAGTGCCGTAAAACTCTTACTGAAACTAAATTACCACTAGCAGACAATAATCTTTATTTTGTCGATGTTCTTCTCTTTACTCCAACAAACATACAACAACCACTGTTATGTCGACATGCTTTTCTTGACCAAAAAACCCCAAACCCAACTGCTATTTTGTCAAAGTGCTTCTATTTACTCAAACAAACAAACAACCAACAACCACTGGTACGTCGATGTGCTTTTCTTAACTTTAGACTAACTAAAAAAACCATTGGCGGCTGTTGTGTGGATGTCCTTCTGTTTCCTCAAACTGGATCCCTGTCGACCCTCCCCCAGTCTCCCCCGCCAGGGCAGTGCTACTGACTGACGTTGTGAAGTCGCCTTTAAGCCATTCCCAAAGGGGAGACATTAACATGTTGTTATGCTCAATAAATTTGTAAATGGGCTGATTTTTCAATGTCATGCTCAAACTGTGCCGGAACAACATAGGGGGAACTGCTACTTTTTCTTTCCTCATCCTTACTATCATCATTTTTTCTCTACTTCTTTTGTATGTTTGTCACTCTCTTGCGAACTGTTATTTCTGGGGTGCCTTGATAGTTGAAGCAGACTTTGTGCTGTTGAAGTTAGAGAGGTGAGCAGAGTAAGCCTGATTCCCCGTTCGGACTTCTCTGTTGACATCCACCCCTTGGCGCTCATATGACCTTATGCAGTTGTGGACGCTGTAAAACCTTACTAAAACTAAAATTAAACAATGAACAACCACTGTTGTACCAGTGTGCTTCTCTTTAACCAAACAAACAAACAATGAACAACCACTGTTGTATCGATGTGCTTCTCTTTAATCAAACAATGAACAACCACTGTTGTATCGGTTTGCTTCTCTTTAACCAAACAAACAAACAATGAACAACCACTGTTGTATCGATGTGCTTCTCTTTAATCAAACAATGAACAACCACTGTTGTATCGGTTTGCTTCTCTTTAACCAAACAAACAAACAATGAACAACCACTGTTGTA